ATATATATATATATATATATATATATATTGACAATAAATGTGAACTATTAATTAATAATAATATAAATATACAAGTTTTTATTAAAATAAAGACATAAACATATAATAATGTAAATATATTCAAAATGTTTGATATATCAAAATGTGTGCTCAGATTAAGATTTGTATACTTGGTGTGTGATTAGAAATTAAATAAAATATCCCGCGCCATCAGGCTATTTTCTTATGTTCTCCGTCGATGCTAAATAATTTTAATATTATTAGGATTAGAGTGCGAAAATGTATTTCTATTTGACAATGTTGCTTTAAAATTCTGTTTACATAAAATATGTAAAATAATCAGATCATATTTTGTTGTATTCCTAAATAAAAATAATTTAAAAATTTGTTAAATTAAAATATAATTAAAATGATTAAATGATTAAATTAATTAAATGATTAAATTAAATTAAATGATTAAATAGTTAAAAAAAATACAATTATTCTTAAATGCTTAAACAATTAAACTTACAAAATAATTCTTAGCATTAAGCATAACTAAATGATAATTGAATAATTAAATTAGTTAAATAATTCTTGAAATCAAGCAGCCCTCTATAATTTGGGCAAGAGTTGATTTCAAATGAAATTTTAAAAGTCTTACTCAATTTTGCATATATAGAACAGTCTAACTGGAATATATCATATTTTTTAAATAATAGTTAATCTTCCAATTCGAATTTTAAAATAGTTATGCACACAATCGATATTCCTTTACATATATTGCACAACATTTCTTTATAGATATATACTTCCCCGAGACTTGTTTCCCCCCTCCTTATGTGCTCCCTCAACTTAACACTCATTTGCCCACACTTTTCCGCCTCACTTTGCAGCGCATTGCAGACGAAATTTGTATGTAAATTCAAATTTTTTTTTTTTTTTTTGCAACTTTGTTTTGTGGGTGGCGATATTTGTCACACATGTCCTCGCTTATGTTGCTGTCTACAGGGAGTGTGTGTGTGTCCCAGACGCTTAGCACTCATCAGGCTCAATTTGTTATAAACGGTTTCTCTGTTTATCCTTTGTCGTTTGTCGTTGTTTTTATCATCGGTGCCCAAACCCTTGAGCCCAACCCTCAAACTCCACAAAATATCCCATATCAGTTGCAAAGTCTTTTGTGTGTTTGCTAAATTCTCGCTCGTTATTTTACACCCCATTGGTGGCAGCCCCCCACCACAACCGTACACTCCCTCACATGACACAGTTTATGTGCGACAATGTCGTAACTCGAAAATCTCTCAATTTTGCGCCGTTTAACATTTATTTGTCGTAAATTAAACATTTTTTCCTTTTTTTAGCGCATATTTTAAGGCAGCTTAGATACTGATGAGCTGTTCCTTTATTGCTTATATTAATACATTGCGCTGCACTGCTTTTAACTGTAAATTAAGATTTCTTAATAGCTAAATCTATATTTAGATTTATTTCTTGTGGCTAGAGTCCTCCAGCTCGGCTTGCTCTGCCATATGTCGCCCTTGGCTGCCACGTTCCTCGGCTTCATTTCACTTCCACCTACGATAATTGGCCAATTTTTGTGCCTAGTCATGTAGCTAGCATAATTTTCATCTGCCTCCCGCTCCGCTGAGCTTCTTAGCCAGCTCCACATACGGCGCATATTTTACGCTCACTTGGCTTTCGAAAACTCACGCAAAGTTATTAAGCAAAATGTGCTCCAAGAGCGGAAAAATTTGATGCGCAAATTTGTAAGTGTGAAACGTGGTGCAAACAAGCGAATTGGATAAAGATATGTTGAGGTAAATAATTGTTAAAGAAGGTGTAAGTGCAGCAAACAGGCGAACATCTAATCTGATATGCTATCTATATTTTATATCAAATATTTTAGTTAGAGAAATAATGGAGTAAAACGAATTTCTAAAAATACAATAGTAAATAAAGCAAACAATCCGGCTTTATTTTTATCATTTATAATTTAATATAAAAATTAATATATTTTGTTATTAAATTGAAATAAAAGTTCAGTAGGCAAATTTAAAGCGAAAATAAATAAATAAAAATAAATATATCATTTAATTATAAGCAAATATAAATATAAAATAATAATAATAATAAAATATAAATATAAACACAAAACATAAAATATAAACTATAAAATATAAAATGCAAAATACAAAATATAAAATATAAAACATAAAATATAAAATATAAAATATAAAATATAAAATA